CAACTGTTAGGTATATGTTTGTGTACTCTCTCTCTCTATTCATTAAATTTCACTGTTTGATAAGGGTGTGCAGTTGTGTGGGAGCAGCTGAGATTAACGAGCTCGGCGCTATTCAGATGCAACGGCCATCTCGAGGTGATGACGCTGTGCTGGAGTAAGTGTACTCAGCGAGGGCGACTTCCCGCGTGGGGAGGCGTTTTCGTGGACCAACGATTCAAACCCCCACGATCAACAGATACGGAGGCCACCACACTCGGGTGTGTATGAAGTGTTTTTCCACCGGGCCACCGAAAGTGTAAACTGCCTGGAGCTGAAGCAATGGAAGAAGAACGACAGGAGTACTGGAGCTTAGCTAAAAGTTAGCCGTGTTCGGTTTGCTGCTTAGTCAGCTACGTCGCTCGAATATCACCATCCCCACTACGTAGCAGTGTCGACTTATTAATCGACGGCTTCTAGATGAATACGACAGGTCAACCTGCAAACTACCCTATGCTGATGGAGTGTCCTTGAAATTTCAGGAGTTACTACTGCAACGGAGCTGAGGGTTTCACCTGGTGCAACAAAAGGAGTTTCCAAAGCTTATGGGTGTAGTTCGACGAGTTTTCCGACGGAAGAGGGAGCTGTCCAGCGGTCAGTAGGCGAGCTTGTTAAAGCTACTAGATGCGTGCGCACTCCTATCTCTGCGGACTCTCGCGACTATTTAAGCGGCAGCAAATGAGATTTGGGTAACCTGCAGCACAGGCCTCAAAATAGCCGGGTGAAATGCCCTGATTGCCCTGATTTTTCCGGGTATTTTTCATGTTACTCTTAAAAATCCGACTTGTAATTTTTTTAAGGCTGACTCAAAAAGTGTTCGCCTTTTTTTACCCTGCTAGAACCAGGGTTAGGCGCCTCCCAGCCCTGAGGCGTCAGGGTAGAATGAAAATTACCCTGATACAGAAACTCCAAAGAGGCAAGATACGTGCCAGATTTTGTGCGAGTGATGCCCGCCACGCCACCGCCACGCCCCTCGTCAGTCCGAAGTTTGTTGCCCACCATCATCACATGCGCATGGGCACGTGTTGATGGTACCACCTCGTTGGCTTTGCGCCGCCTTACGATTGGTTAGAGTGGCAGCATTGTTTCCTCGCTGGGTGACAAGTTCGCGCGCCGACAGTGAATGCTGATGCATGCAGCAACTTCACAGGTTTTTTCCTGTGAGCTGAGCGGTCCCAAACGAGGCTCTTGACTGCACACCTTTTGTGTCTCGCAAAACGCCCTTCTTCTCCATACGTTTCTTCCAGAAACCATGCCCCCTGACTTGCAACGAGCATTCCCTCACCCAGTAGAGTTTCGAGTAGCTGGATCGTCCTTCAGCCATGGCGCTCGATGCTGCCGATCCTCCTGACCCTCCCCCACTGAATGGACTCAGCGTTCTTGGGGTTTTCCCCCTCCTCCCGCCGCGTAGAGTTGCGCCTTCCCCGCCGCGCAATCCCTCGCTCGACAAGCGTGCACCCCCTCCGCAACAGTTTCTTTTTGAGCCAACGTCCCCACCTTGCTCTTCTCATGCTGCTGAGGCGATCGACCTCAACCTGTTGCACAGCGAAGGCACTTCTGGCGAGGCACCAGAAGTTGCTGAGTCTGTCGCCACCGCTCCCGCCAAGAGGAAGGACTGCGGACCATGGACTCAGCGTCGGCTTCCTTGGGCGCCACCGCCGAAGAAGCCGGCTGCACCGCCTACTCCTCCGCCTGTTGCTCCTACTCCGCCCCAGAATCCCGCTTCTCATGTCGACGCGGAGTATGAGGTCGTGAATCGTCGCTTCGTGGACGACTGGTCACGACGCTTCCCGTGGCTCCGACTTACTCGTATGAAGAACGGCCGACCTGCCCTCAAATGTGCCCTGTGTCTCCAGTACGGTGATGCTTTCTCCAACACTTCATATGGCAGGAAAGGAGAGGGTGCGCGCGATCTCCAGGTGGGCAGCATCCGAATCCACATTGGGACACGTGCTCACAAGGCGGCTGTCAAGGCGCAGCAAGAACGGGAGAAAGAGACGGATCAGCAGAAGACGCTAGACCGATGGGCGGTGACAGATGCATCGACGAAACATCTCATCCGGTGCTTCCATATCGCCCTTTTTGTCTGTAAGGCCGACGCGCCCATCACGATGTACGTGGCGCTTTGCTACTTCCTCGTGTCCGAGGGCTTACCCGATCTCCCGCAGGGTCGGGCGTATGGGACCTACTACACGGAGTGAGTTTTGATATCCGAATCCCTCTTCTCCCGTCAATGCATTGCATGTCGCCACAGACATCGAACGTTGCCGTAATTTCCTTGTATGTGTCCACTTGCTCTCCAACTTTCTTACCAGTAGCCTATCCATTCCCATCTCCCCCTACCAGTTATGGCTTCAAGCAAGGGACCAAGGCGATTTCCGAGTACCTGAAGGACGAGCAGCTCCACCACATCCTGAGCTCCCCGTTTGTCGGCATCGCCATCGATGAAAGCACGGACCGCGTGCACGGGAAGCATCTAATTCTGTATGCTACGTTCTTTCGTGGCAACTCGGTAGTCACAGAGTTTGTCACTCTGCTAACTGTCGAGCGGACCGATGCGGCGTCTCTGACGGCGGTTCTTCTACAGTACCTGCAGTACATCGGTCTCGACCTCCAGAAGATCGTCGGGATGGCTACCGATGGAGCATCGGTAATGACCGGTGTGCAACAGGGAGTGGTAACCCGCCTAAAGAGGCGGATTGAGCACCTGATGGCTGTTCACTGCATCGCCCATAGGTGGGGTGTTTTACTCGCTACCCTCATGTTTTCAGTAGAACGCTCCAAATCATTGCATCTGTTCTAGTGTTGTACTCGTTGACCGTATGCTTTTCCTCTGCTTGTCGGACTCATTGCTTTTTTGTGTTTAATCCACTCCTCCCGCCAGAGAGGCACTTGCGGCGAAGGATGCTGCCGCTGCTGTGGCCGAGCTACAGATCATCGACATGCTCATCCGTGCTTTCGCCGAGCTCGTCGGTCGCTCCAACAATCAGCACCTCAGCTTCATAAACTTCCAGCTGGTGTTTTGCAACACCAATCTAGAGATGCAAGGGATCCACGCCGTACGTTGGTTGTCGCGCGGAGAGGCGGTGATCCGCTTCGTCGAAGTGCTGCCGGCGGCCATCGTCTTGCTGCGTGATCACCCCAGCGGTCTTTTCGAGATTGTGACGTCGTTCAAGGTGCAGTTCATGCTGCACTACCTCGCCGACATACTGGAGGAGCTGAATCACCTTAACACCCGCTTCCAGCAGCGCCAGGTATGACACTCCTCTCATCGTTGAATGTCGTCAGTACCATGTGCTTGCATCTAGGCACTCAGTCATACTTTGCACGTTTATTTTGCATGTCGTTCATGGTGCCCTGTTTGCTTTGAAATTATCTCTGTGTTTTCGTTGCAGGTGGATCTCACAATCGTGGCCTCAGTGGTGGACAACACGTGCAACCGCATCACCGACCGCTACATCAAGTGCGGCGGTGGTCTCTTCTTCGGGAACGGCAGCGAGAGGCTTGGGAAATTCCTGGAGCGTCACGGGAGGCCCGACCAGCGCCGCGTGCGCGTTCAAGGCGTTGACTCGGAGGGGAATGCTCAGGCGTTCGAGTATGTGCTGCATGAGCGGATGGTGGAGGGGCACAACACCAAGAGCGACCTAGACTCCTGCGCCCAAGTCTGCCGGAAGCATGCAATCGATGTCGTCACCAACGTCCGTGCCCGCCTGAAGGACCTGGCTAACATGGAAGGATGCAAGCTCTTCAAAGCCAAGACCTACCCACGAGACGACGAGTTGCGCCTAGCGAGATGCAAGCAGTGGCTGAAGCAGTCCCACAACCTCTTCGATGGAAAGCTCCCAGGTGAGACAGATTTGTTCTCGATGATGCTGCCTGTCATCGATGCTTGCGTGTCCGTTCTTAGGCTGCAGTCCCCGCAATCCATTTGCAGCAACATTCGTTGCACATCTCCCCTCAAAGGCTTACTGTTTCCTATCCTTTGAATCCCAACCCCACCATCCTGTAGGCTTCGACTACAACAAGGCCGTCACGGAGCTGTGGGTGTTTACTGCTACCATGGTGTCGCAGTACAAAGATGACGAGTTTCAACAGAGGCTCACCTTGACTCTGGACAACAATGAGTGGCAGCGGAGCTACCCCAACATCCTCAAGCTGTGGCAGGCACTGGCGGTGCTCCCTCTCAGCACAGTGGAGTGCGAACGTGGTTTCTCGAAGCAAAATCTGATCAAGTCATGGAGTCGTGGGTGCCTTGGCGATGACAGCCTGGGCGACTTGATGCGGTGCTCGCTCCTTTGCTACCAGATTGACTGGTTTGATGTGGTAGCTGTTTTCCGAGGTGAGAAGCGGCGGCGGCCTCTGCGCGACTTGTGTTCTGCCAACCCAACTCCAGCTGCGGCTTCTGCAGATGCAGGCACCATAAGGACTGACCCTGACCCTGACCCAGTTCCACTAGAGGATCCTAGTGTGCTGTAGGTCGTGTGGTTGTGATTTTCCTTGCCTACGTTCCTAGTTCATGCTAATTATTTCCATATGTTAATTATTGACATGCAGTGTAGCTAGGAATATAGTGCATTTCATAACGTGAAACTGGGTTCTGCTTTTTTTACCCTGAGCACCCAGAGTGCCGAATGTTCTACCCTGCTGAATCAGACTTGAGAAAAATTGTACTCTGACCGGCAGGGTAATTTTTTTTTGGCACTCTGATTCCTAAGAGTGGCCTAAAACCAATTTTGAGGCCTGCTGCAGCAGCCGCGAGATAGGTAAACATCGGTACGGCCAGCTGGCAAGGGGTACCAAAGAAACTTTGAAGTGGAGTTACTGGTGGAAGATCGACAGTGTTCCGGAAACTTTCGGAGTGCGACGGAGCTTTCCGGAGTAGTCCCTAGTTAATGAGTCTACTTGTCACGGCGCGAAAGCCTAGGACCTACTGTTGGTGCAAGGGCGAATGCGACGATGGGTGAAGTCGGCGCTGTTAAATTATATATGTTATATAATTGTAGGCTTGGTAGGTGTTACTGAAATCTACTGTAGAGGTACAACCCCCCTCCTTGCATCCCTCTCTCTTCTATTCTCGATCTCTTTTCTCTCGTAAACTTTCTCCTAGCTAAACCCTCTCGCCATTCTATGGCTTCCTAGCTACCTAGCTCTTTTGACATGCTATCAGAGCAGGTCGCCCTTCCCGGGCCTGCTCCCCACGCTTCCGCCGCGTACTCGTTCATCGTTCGTCCCTGCCGGGTCGCCGCCGCGCCCATGCCGAGCAATCGTTGCTGCGTCAGAGCACGGGAGAGGGGGAGAGAGCACAGGAGAGGGGGAGAGAGCACGGGAGTGGGGGAGAGAGCACGGGACAGGGGGAGAGAGCATGGGAGAGAGGGAGAGAGCATGGGAGAGGGGGAGAGAGCATGGGAGAGGGGGAGAGAGCATGGGAGAGGGGGGAGAGCATGGGAGAGGGGGAGAGAGCACGGGAGAGGGGGAGAGAGCACAGGAGGGGGAGAGAGCACGGGAGAGGGGGAGAGAGCATGGGAGAGGGGGAGAGAACACGGGAGAGGGGGAGAGAGCACGGGACAGGGGGAGAGAGCATGGGAGAGGGGGAGAGAGCATGGGAGAGGGGGAGAGAGCATGGGAGAGGGGAGAGAGCATGGGAGAGGGGGGGAGAGCATGGGAGAGGGGGAGAGAGCACGGGAGAGGGGGAGAGAGCACAGGAGGGGGAGAGAGCACGGGAGAGGGGGAGAGAGCATGGGAGAGGGGGAGAGAACACGGGAGAGGGGGAGAGAGCACGGGACAGGGGGAGAGAGCATGGGAGAGGGGGAGAGAGCATGGGAGAGGGGGAGAGAGCATGGGAGAGGGGGAGAGAGCATGGGAGAGGGGGGGAGAGCATGGGAGAGGGGGAGCGAGCACGGGAGAGGGGGAGAGAGCACAGGAGAGGGGGAGAGAGCACGGGAGAGGGGGAGAGAGCATGGGAGAGGGGGAGAGAGCATGGGAGAGGGGGAGCGGGCACGGGAGAGGGGGAGAGAGCACGGGACAGGGGGAGAGAGCACGGGACAGGGGGAGAGAGCACGGGAGAGGGGGAGAGAGCATGGGAGAGGGGGAGAGAGCATGGGAGAGGGGAAGAGAGCACGGGAGAGGGGGAGAGAGCACGGGAGAGGGGGAGAGAGCACGGGAGAGGGGGAGAGAGCACGGGAGAGGGGGAGGGAGCATGGGAGAGGGGGAGAGAGCATGGGAGAGGGGAAGAGAGCACGGGAGAGGGGGAGAGAGCACGGGAGAGGGGGAGAGAGCACGGGAGAGGGGGAGAGAGCATGGGAGAGGGGGAGGGAGCACAGGAGAGGGGGAGAGAGCATGGGAGAGAGGGAGAGATCATGGGAGAGGGGGAGAGGGCATGGGAGAGGGGGAGAGAGCATGGGAGAGGGGGAGAGAGCATGGGAGAGGGGGAGAGAGCATGGGGTGGGATGCAGCATGGGGTGGGATGCAGCATGGGGTGGGATGCAGCATGGGATGGGATGCAGCATGGGGTGGGATGCAGCATGGGATGGGATGCAGCATGGGATGGGATGCAGCATGGGATGGGATGCAGCATGGGGCGGAATGCAACATAGGGTAAGGAGCTGCATGGGGTGGGGAGCGGGAGAGCAGGAGAGCAGAAGAGCAGGGGAGCAGGGGAGCGGGGGAGCATGGGAGCAGGGGAGCAGGAGAGCGGGAGAGCAGGAGAGCTGGAGAGCGGGAGGAAGGGCGGTGAGCGAGTGGGAGACGGGGAGGGAGCATGGGGAAGGGGGGTGAGCAGAGGAGATGGGGAGAGGGCATGGGAGGACGGGGGTGAGCAGGGGAGACGAGGAGAGGGCATGGGAGGAGGTGGGTGAGCAGGGGAGATGGGGAGAGGGCATGGGAGGAGGTGGGTGAGCATGGGAGATGGGGAGAGGGCATGGGAGGAGGTGGGTGAGCAGGGGAGATGGGGAGAGGGCATGGGAGGAGGTGGGTGAGCAGGGGAGATGCATGGGTTAGGGAAGGCGACCATTCGCCGCTCTAAATTCCTGAAGTTTCCCCCTATCCCCTGCTACCCTTCTTGTTTCCCCCCCCCCCATCCCCCCCTCCCTCCCGTCCCCCCCCCCCTCTCCCCATTACCCTGTTGGGATTGGAGCGGGGCAAGGAGAGGTTTGGAGCGGGGAAAGGCGGGGATCGGAGCGGGGAAAGGGGGAGATCGGAGCGGGGAAAGGCAGGGATCGGAGCGGGGAAAGGCGGGGATGGGAGCGGGCGCATCGGCAGGTCGCGACCCCACCTGCGAATGAACAGGGCGCCGGCAGGCAGGGCTGCGTGGGCTGAATAACGTCGCTAGCGCGCCCCGCTTGCTTCAGCGCGCGGGTCCAACGGCGGTGTCGGTGCGATGTGGTGGCGGGACGGCGCGGCTCTCGCAAAAGCGAGGGCTGGAAAGGGCTATCCTTGGGTCACGCCCCTCTAAAACTTGCAGTTATCCTAAAATAGCGACGTGCACGGTGTTTGCTCGATGGGAAGGGCAGGAGACAAAGTCATGACTTAAGAGTGCAGAGTAAACTCCAAGGCATTTTGCATCTTGGTGGGTTGGTGAGTTGCGCGTTCTACAGTGCTGATCTGGCGTCGTATGACTGCCGCTCTTCCCATCACCTATTTGCGCTTGCCAAGTTTCCCACTCTCGCGGGCCATCAGGGTCTTCAAGTTTCCAGGGTGTGGGCGTGTAAAGGGTTCGCCCGTCTGAAGGTTAAAAATCCTTTGAACCTTGAAGTTATTGTATACTTTTTCTTTAATGCTGTAGAGTGATTTAAGTAACTTTCATATGTGGAGTCCGTCGACCTAAGTTTGAGGAAGTTTAACAAAAATATCTGCATCAATGTGTGCGTATAAAAACACATTTTTCTTTCCAATTGGCGAAGTGGCTGATCGCTGCTGGCAGCAATAGCGAGAAGAATTCGTACCGAGGTATGACGGCTAACCGGAGCAAAATTCATGTCGCAGTCGATGCCATGGGTTTGTTTGAAACCTCGAACGACCCATCTCCCCTTGAATCTTTCTGGTTCGCCTGCTATATTTGTCTTTATGCGAAAGACCTACAGTACTTGTCCGAAAGAATTTTCTTACCGCTTGTTGCTTCGTGTGGAACGAGTTTCCACGTTTTCCGCTTCTCGAGGGTTGCTACCTCTGCATCCATTGCTGCTCGCCATTTGCCAGCATCAGAGCCGAATAAGGCATGCTTGACTTTTTTCGGCTCGATCCCGGTCATTCGTTGCTGAATTGGGACAGCAAGTCCGAGGATCTGAAGAGCCGATTGGTCACCACAAGGATGAGGTTGGCAAACTTCGATGACGCCATCATCGTCAATTTCGGATGGCAGTGTCAAACATGTGTATTTGTCATGTTTGTATAGACTATATAGGGTCGCCTCTTAGAGAGTACAACACTTAGGTATATCTGTGTGTACTCTCACTCTATCTAATTCACTTGTTCAATTTCTGATATGGTATCACGCGTAGGTAGGATCCCCCCCACCTACCGCTTCCGCTCGCCCCCCCTAGCCCCGTCGCGACCCCCCTCTAGCCCCGTCGCGCCACTTCCTAGGACCCGTCGCGCCCCTCCCTGGGCCCCGTCGCGCCCCTTCCCAGGCCCCGTAGCGCCCCTCCTGGGCCCCGTTGCGCTCCTCCTAGGCCCCGTAACGCCCCTCTTGGGCCTCGTCGCGCCCCCCCTGGGCTCCGTAGCGCCCCTCCTGGGCCCCGTCGCGCCCCTCCCTGGCCCCGTAGCGCCCCTCCTGGGCCCCGTCGCGCCCCTCCCACGCCCCGTCGCGCCCCTCCTGGGCCCCGTAGCGTCCCTCCTGGGCCCCGTCGCGCCCCTCCCAGGCCCCGTAACGCCCCTCCTGGGCCCCGTAGTGCCCCTCCTGGGCCCCGTCGCGCCCTTCTGGGTCCTGTAGCGCCCCTCCTGGGACCCGTCGCGCCCCTCCCAGGCCCCGTCGCGCCCCTCCTGGGCCCCGTCGCGCCCCTCCTGGGCCTCGTCGCGCCCGCCCTGTGCCCCTGCAGCGCCCCTCCTGGGCCCCCCGTCGCGCTCGCCCGGCCCCGTCGCGCTCGCCCGGCCCCGTCGCACCAGCCCGGCCCCGTCTCACCAGCCCGGCCCCGTCATGCTCGCCCGGCCCCGTCGCGCTCGCCCGGCCCCGTCGCACCCTGCCCGGCCCCGTCGCAGCCGCCCGGCCCCGTCGCACCGGCCCGGCCCTGTCGCCCCCGCCCGGCCTCGTCGCCCCTGCCCGGCCCCGTCGCGCTCGCCCGGCCCCATCGCCCTGGCCCGGCCCTGTCGCACCAGCCCGGCCCCGTCGCGCCCGCCCGGCCCCGTCGTCCTCGCCCGGCCCGGTCGCACCTGCCCGGCCCCGCTGCCCCGGCCCCGTCCTCCTCACTGGTACGGTTCCCCCCCCACCCCGCCCTGCACTGCCCTGCACCGTACTGCCCCGCACCACACTGTCCTGCCTTACACCGCGCTGCATCGCACTGCACCGCACTGCACTGCACTGCACTGCCCTGCACCGCACTGGACTGTTCCTGATGGTGGCGGAGCTTCGCTTCGACGTTGAAGGTCAGCCCCTAGAGTTCGAGGCGTGGCTTGCCGACCTCCGCCGCCAACTCACTGGCCAGCGGCAGGATGGTGAACCGCTTTCCGCACACCTTGACGGTACGCTCCCCTGCCCAGACCCCCCTGCTATTCTGCCCGCTGACCCCACACCCACTGAGCGCGAGTCCACTGCTGCCACTGCCCGTGCTCGCTCTGTCTGGCTTTCTCGCGATGCTGTCGCCCAGCTTGCCATTAGCAACGCCCTCCCCCCGTCCGAGCGTCCTCGCTTTAGGTCCCTCACTACTGCTCAGGCCTACTTAGATGCCGTCATCAAGCGCTATTCCACCCCTCCGGCTGCCTCGGTGGGTCGCCTGATCCTCCCGATGCTCTTTCCTGACCTTGCTTCTTTCCCCACTGACTCTGACCTCGCTGCCCACCTGCGCTCGATAGATGAGACCTGGCGTGCAGCCTGCACTGATGCACAGCTTAGAGCCCACCAGCCGCCCATTACCTCTACCCTCTACCTGCTTGCCACCCGCCTCCCTGACCGCCTTGCTGTCGCCCGCGACCGCTTCCTTAGCATTCACCCCGCAGACCTCACCCTCACTGACTTTGTAGACACCCTGACTGTGATAGAGACCCGTCACCGCTCCATCGCCCAGGCGAGCGGTGTCGTGCCGGTCCCTATCTTTCAGGGTTGTGCCCCCGCCCAGTGTACCTTCTCCGACGGCTCTGCCGCAGTGGCTGAGACTGCTGCTGCAGCGCAGTTTCGTTCGGGGAAGGGCCGCCGCCCCAAGGTTGGGCGCGGCGGCGGCGGCGGCGGGGGTGCGGGAGGGGGTAGTGGTGGGGTCGGGTCGTCTGGTGCTGGAGCGGACGAGGGGACCCTGCCCAGTCCAGCTGAGCCGCCGCCCCTGCAGTTGCAGCAGCCGCAGCAGCCGCTGCAGTCGCAGCCTTCGCAGCAGCCGCAGCAGCCGTCGCAGACGCGGCAGACGAGTGTCCTCCCGCCCGGGTGGCCCGGCGCTGGCGGTGGCCGGGCGCGCGGTGGTGTGCCGAGTGGTGGCTCTGGTGGCGGGCGTTGTCAGTACCAGATCCAGACCGGTCCTCGCCGCGGTTTCGTTCGCGGTCGGCTCGGTCACTCCACTCCCCGCTGTTTTCGTCGCCTGGACGACCTCTTTTGTCAGCGCTTCGGCCCGTCGCCAGACCTCCCGGACTGGCACAGCTTGCTTAGTCGTAAGATTCAGATTTTTGATATGGACATGGATGCCATTGTTGCTGCTCTGCATGTGATGTATGCTGATGACTCTAGTGTGCTTCCCGCTTATTACTCACTGTTGCCTAGTGTAGGTGTGCCTAGCTTAGCCTCCCCTGCTGCGTCAGGCGTAGGATCCCCTGCTTTGTGTAGTCTTGGTGCTTCCGCTGTCGTTCCGTTGCCAGACGCCTCTGCTTCGCTTTCCTTCACCTTGGACTCTGGCGCTTCTCGGTGTTTCTTCCGCGACTCCACCACCCTGACGCCGCTTCCTGTCCCAGCTGCCGTCTCTCTTGCTGACCCCTCCGGCGGTCCGGTCGTCGCCCGCAGTTCCACCACCCTTCCCTGTCCGGCGGTTCCTTCGGGCTCTCTCACAGGTCTGCATATCCCCTCGTTCTCCAGGAACCTAGTTGGTGTCGGCTGCCTGCAGGACCTTGGCGTCACCACTACGTTCCCTGGTCACGAGCGGTATGCTGTCTGTACCGAGGCCGCCACCGGTGCCCCCCTGTCCACGTTCCCCCGGGACCCGGTGTCCGGCCTGTTCACTCTGGACACCGTGACCCCCTCGGCTGGGGCGCCTCCTCAGGTGGCTGCGTCTACCCAGGTTGTTGCTGCCTGCTCCTGTCGGTCCCTCACTCACCCGACTCTCCTTTGGCACCACCGCCTGGGTCTCCTGGTGACGCGTCTGCGTTCCACGTCTGGGGCTGCCTTGCTCACGTCTGTGCCTCCGGCACGGACAAGCTCACTGCCCGCACCCTTCCCTGCGTCTTCCTCGGTTTTCCCCTTGACGCGTCCGACTGGCACTTTTACCACCCGCCGTCTCACCGCTTCTTTCACTCTCGTGACGTCACCTTTGTCGAGTCCGTCTCCTACTACCGTCGCTTCCCCCACCGTGGTCCCCCGGTTACCCCCCCCCTGTTCCTGGTCACTCCTTCCCCGGTAGTCCCTGTCCCTCCTCCTCCTCCTCCCCGTCCAGCCCCCTCTGGTGTGTCCCACGTCACCCCCCTTCTGTCGGTGGACCCGGTTGAGGAGTCTTCTGACTCTGGTGGCCCTCCTGTTCAGTCCTCGCCGGCCGCCCCTCCCCTGGCGTCCCCTCCCCAGTCCCCCCCTCCACCGCCTCTGCCGCCGCTGCAGCCGTCGTTGTCGCTGCCGCTGCCGCCGCCGCCGCCGCCGCCGTCGCAGCACCCGTTCGCTGACTCTGGGGGTGCTCGTCCCGGTAGCCCTGGGGGTGGTCCCTCTGGGGGTGCTGGTGTGGGGAATGCCGGTGGTAGCCGAGGAGCAGCTTGCGGTCCCGGTGTCGCCGTTGTGCCGCCGCAGCAGCAGTCCCCGCCGGTGTCAGCCCTTCGCCTGCTCGGCCTTTCGTCCCCCGACCCTGCGTCGGTTCCTCCCCGGCCGTCTCCTCCTCTTCCTGTCTACGGCCCTATCTTCCCTCCGCCGGACTCGTCCCCGGCCCGTCTCCCCCCTCGTTCCCCTCCTGTGTCCCCTCCTCTGTCTCCTGACCCGACTCCTCCGTCGCACGTCTGGTCTCACCGTCCCTCCCGTGCTCGTCCTGCCTTGCCTGTCTTGCGCTCCCACCCTATGTTGCTCCGTTCCCACGCGTCTCGTCCTCTTCTTCTGCCGTCGCCTCCTCCGTCCTCCCTTGTTGTTGCACCCCCCCCGCTGTCTGACGACCTTCGTGCTGCTCGTCCAATTGTTCCTCGGGTCCTTGCCTCTCTCGTTACCGACCCGTCTGTTCCGGCCTTGTGCCTTGACGCTCTTGTCGCTGCTGTCGCTGACTTCGCCTCTACCCGCCGCCTTGACTACGCCTCCGCTCTGGTCTCTGACCCTGCCTGTCCTCCGTCTGTCGGGGGTGCTCCTGCCCTTGGCAGTGACGTCCTGGAGGACCGCCAGTTCGAGCTTGCTTTCCTCTCCGAGGCTGCTCCCCATCTCTGTTCCATGCTGCTAGTCCCTGAGGGTGACCCAGACGCTTTTGACATCCCGACCCCTCGCACTTACGCTGAGGCGACTTCGGGACCCTGGGCCTCGCAGTGGATAGCTGCCATGGAGCAGGAGATGGCATCTTGGAGATCCACCGGCACCTTCGTCGATGCAGTTCCCCCACCTGGGGTGAACGTAGTCGATGGACGCTGGCTCTTCAAGGTGAAGCGCCCTGGAGAGCCGCCTGTGTTCAAGGCGCGCTATGTCGCTAGAGGCTTCAGTCAGCGCGAGGGGGTGGACTTCTTCCAGACCTTCGCTCCGACCCCGAAGATGACTACTCTTCGGGTTCTGTTACACCTAGCTGCTCAGCGTGACTACGAGCTTCACTCCCTCGACTTCTCCACTGCCTTCCTTCAGGGCACCCTACACGAGCAGGTCTACGTGCGCCGCCCTCAGGGCTTCACTGGCACCTTCCCTCCTGGGACCCAGTGGCTCCTGCTGTGAGAGTACGACCCCGTTACACCACTTGGCCTTTTCTTATTTCCTTCCCTTTTCATTTCTCTTTTTATCTCATCTCATTTGGTTTCCTATTCTTCCTCTTCCATTAACCTTTGGTTTATCCTGCTATTATAAGTATATCACCGACCAGGCTTGGGATGTACTGGTGCGCTATATCTAGCATAATCCTGCCGTAATCCCTTAAAGCCAATAGCCTCGCGCGGCTATACGCAGGGTGATTCTATCTTCTAGAAGGGTCTATTCCCTTAGGATAAGATAAAACCTGGTTACCTGATGTACTCTGGAAGTATAAAAGCGCCTTGTACTGATCGATAGTGCAACCTTTCCTCGACACATTCGATCCTGTGACACTTGGTAATCAGAGCTTTTCTCACTCGACCGCGCTCAGCTAAGCAGCAGCAGCGGGGATCCTGCCTCGAAAAACCGCCGGGGGCGACCAATTCGACGCCGATTCTGGTAAGCACCAGCTCCGCGATTTTCGAATTACCCCCTCCGTGCGTGTTTTGAACAGAATGGCAACCTTCGACAACGCCGAGGTTACCCAGCAGCTCTTCGCGTGCATCGCAGCCCTTCAGGAGGAAATGCGAGCGGATTGCGAAGCGTGGCGAAACCAGTTCGAGCGAGTAACTCGACTCGCCGGAGCGCAGCACGAGACGACAACGGCGACGACGCAGCAGTCGCAGCAGTTTCTCGAGGCTCCGAAACCGCGCCCACCTGAGCCGTTCGATCCGAGCGATCGAAACTCCGACGCCCGCAGATGGATCGCCGGGATGGAGATCTACTTCGCAGCCGTCGGATGGAGCTCGCCAGTCTGGGACGGTCAACGCGTACGACTCGCGGCGACACTGATGCGAGGGCCGGCACTCGAGTGGATTGGCGGCAACAGTACTTTCATCCACGGTGAAGCCACGTGGCAGCAGTTCCGCGCCGACAATCTGAAACGCTTCGAAACGATAAATTCGAGTTTCCTTGCCCGGGAAAAAATTCATCGACACCGACAGTTCGGGAGTGTAGCACAGTACACGCAGCAGATGGAGGAATTTTATAACCGCATTCCCGACCTGACCGAAGGGGAAAAAATACAATCGTACCTCGCCGGGCTGAAGACCGAAGTCAAACGAAAAGTCGCAGCGTCAAACTACGCGAGCTACAGTGACGTCGTTTCGGCAGCGGAGCGCTTCGACATGGTCAACGCCGGAACACGACGGACGCACGTCGGCAGTACGCGACAGGGCGACCGCTCGGCTCACCCCACGTTCGCCGACCCGATGGAAGTCGACAGATTCGAGGGGCGGCCACGTCCGAAAAACACCAACTACACGTGTGATTTTTGCGGGGTGCCGGGCCACCGAATCTTCGACTGCAACAAAATGAAGGCCGCACGCGCAGAGTATCGGGCACGCAACAGTGGCGGAAATCTTTCGGCCAATCAGAAGACAAAAAACGGGAGTCGCCAGTGATTGCGGATCTAGCTGGCGAAAAAGTAAAGATCCGAAAACGGCCGCGGGATTCCGGAAAAATCAACTTCGACGAAGCTGATTCGACGCGAGAAGGAGGAAATGATGGGGGAAAATCTCCACCCCACGACCAGTCCTCGCCAGGGAAAATCGCCGAGGGAAAATATGACACCGCGAAAAAAGACTCTGCCGAGACGGGGAAACTCCTTGAAGACCCAAGAAATTATAAGAATTCGTTAAAGTTATCTTATAAAGATGCTTTAATGAAAACTTATGATTTTCGAGGGGCTAGAGCCTTGGAGAAATTTCGGGAGGGACTCCAAAAGAAGCAGACAGCTGTGGAGATTATACCGGTACCGGACAACCTGGGGACCAAATTAAGGAGTGTGGAAAGAAGCCGACCTTTCCACGGAGTCAACGTCCTCTCCCGACACCAGCCCACAACGACTACCCGCTCCCCAGGGAAGACGTCGGTGGAGCTGAAGCAGCTCAAGAGGAAGCTGGGGGTCTACAAGAAGCTGCACAAACCCCGAACTCCTCCTACGGATGCATCCAGTTCTTCGGCATCAATGACGCGCACAGTCGTCAAGGAAACTCCGGGCCCTGGAGAAGAGTCGTTCTCCAAGCAGCCTCGGCCAGCTGCCAGCTCAGGAGTAGACAGCAACACAAAGGTGTGTACGGAGTATTGGGATGTACCCTATGACCCAATCAATGAGACTATCTTTGGGTACTCCGAGCAACGACTGCCCCTCGTGCTCGAGGTCATCTGCAAAGGACGACGCCTCCAAGCACTCGTGGACAGCGGAGCGTCACACACCGTCTGCGACAAGGCAGTGATCGACCGACTTCGGGAAGAGTACAAGCCTTCAGGATTCTCGGCAACGATGGTGGACGGCAGCAAGTTACCAGTACACGGCGAAGCAGTGCTACGCCTACAAATTGGACCACTGCGCTGGAGACCTGCACTCCCCATCACCAACATCAAAGGGCTTGACTTGATCTTCGGGCGAGACTTCCTGAAAAGATTCAACCCCGAGATCAACTGGGTGAACCGCACCGCAAGCATCTACAACAATGGACGGAGAGTACAGCTACCCAACTGGGACGATACTGGAGATATCCCAGTAGAGACACTCGCACGATTCGAGAAGGACGTGAAGCGGACCGACACCGGGTTCCTGGCGATAGCAACAGAGGTGGAGAATGACGGAGAGAAAGCCTCGGAACCTCTAGAAAAAATCAAGGAATTATTGAAGGAGTTCCAAGACATTCTTCCTGACGATCTTCCGAACGAGCTACCGCCATACCGAACGCATCAACACGAGATCGTGGAGGAACCGGGTTCGAAGCCGACCTTCCGAGCACCATACCGGCTCAGCCCTACGGAGCTGACTGACATGAAAAAAAAGATCGAGTATCTCCTAGCCAAAGGACTCATCCGGCCATCCACTTCGCCATACGGTGCCCCAGTACTCTTCACACCGAAACCGGACGGAAGCCTGCGCATGTGCATCGACTACCGAGCTCTTAACAAGCAGACCATCAAGAACAAGTATCCGATACCACGAATCGATGACCTGCTTGACCAGCTTCGGGGAGCTATGGTATTTTCCAAAGTGGATCTGCGGTCCGAATACTGGCAGATACGGATGGCGGACAACTCTATCCACAAAACTGCTTTTCGAACTCGGTACGGATCGTACGAGTATTTGGTCATGCCATTCGGACTCACTAACGCGCCGGCAACGTTCCAAGCCGAAATGAACCACATTCTACGACCACTTATGGACGAATGCGTGGTGGTGTACCTGGACGACATACTCATCTACTCGCGCGACATGAAACAACACGTCGAACACCTGCGACGCGTCTTCGAAATTCTTCGACGAGAACGATTCTACGTCAAACTGTCCAAGAGCGAATTCGCCCTGGAGAAGGTCCAATTTCTAGGACACATGGTGAGCGCTCAAGGAGTTCACGTCGACCCCAAGAAAATCGAAGCCGTACGTACGTGGACGACACCCGAGAACGTGGAGGAGTTGCAGCAGTTCCTAGGCTTCGCTAATTACTACAACAGGTTCGTGCCACAGTATGCGAAACTCGCGGCACCACTCACGAATCTGCTGAAGAAGAACACGCCCTACAAATGGGAGATGAAGCACCAGGAGTTTCCGCGTCTCGGCAGAGTCTTTTTTCGCGGAGTCATATTTTCCCTCGGCGATTTTCCCTGGCGAGGACTGGTCGTGGGGTGGAGATTTTCCCCCATCATTTCCTCCTTCTCGCGTCGAATCAGCTTCGTCGAAGTTGATTTTTCCGGAATCCCGCGGCCGTTTTCGGATCTTTACTTTTTCGCCAGCTAGATCCGCAATCACTGGCGACTCCCGTTTTTTGTCTTCTGATTGGCCGAAAGATTTCCGCCACTGTTGCGTGCCCGATACTCTGCGCGTGCGGCCTTCATTTTGTTGCAGTCGAAGATTCGGTGGCCCGGCACCCCGCAAAAATCACACGTGTAGTTGGTGTTTTTCGGACGTGGCCGCCCCTCGAATCTGTCGACTTCCATCGGGTCGGCGAACGTGGGGTGAGCCGAGCGGTCGCCCTGTCGCGTACTGCCGACGTGCGTCCGTCGTGTTCCGGCGTTGACCATGTCGAAGCGCTCCGCTGCCGAAACGACGTCACTGTAGCTCGCGTAGTTTGACGCTGCGACTTTTCGTTTGACTTCGGTCTTCAGCCCGGCGAGGTACGATTGTATTTTTTCCCCTTCGGTCAGGTCGGGAATGCGGTTATAAAATTCCTCCATCTGCTGCGTGTACTGTGCTACACTCCCGAACTGTCGGTGTCGATGAATTTTTTCCCGGGCAAGGAAACTCGAATTTATCGTTTCGAAGCGTTTCAGCAGGTCGGCGCGGAACTGCTGCCACGTGGCTTCACCGTGGATGAAAGTACTGTTGCCGCCAATCCACTCGAGTGCCGGCCCTCGCATCAGTGTCGCCGCGAGTCGTACGCGTTGACCGTCCCAGACTGGCGAGCTCCATCCGACGGCTGCGAAGTAGATCTCCATCCCGGCGATCCATCTGCGGGCGTCGGAGTTTCGATCGCTCGGATCGAACGGCTCAGGTGGGCGCGGTTTCGGAGCCTCGAGAAACTGCTGCGACTGCTGCGTCGTCGCCGTTGTCGTCTCGTGCTGCGCTCCGGCGAGTCGAGTTACTCGCTCGAACTGGTTTCGCCACGCTTCGCAATCCGCTCGCATTTCCTCCTGAAGGGCTGCGATGCACGCGAAGAGCTGCTGGGTAACCTCGGCGTTGTCGAAGGTTGCCATTCTGTTCAAAACACGCACGGAGGGGGTAATTCGAAAATCGCGGAGCTGGTGCTTACCAGAATCGGCGTCGAATTGGTCGCCCCCGGCGGTTTTTCGAGGCAGGATCCCCGCTGCTGCTGCTTAGCTGAGCGCGGTCGAGTGAGAAAAGCTCTGATTACCAAGTGTCACAGGATCGAATGTGTCGAGGAAAGGTTGCACTATCGATCAGTACAAGGCGCTTTTATACTTCCAGAGTACATCAGGTAACCAGGTTTATCTTATCCTAAGGGAATAGACCCTTCTAGAAGATAGACTCACCCTGCGTATAGCCACGCGAGGCTATTGGCTTTAAGGGATTACAGCAGGATTATGCTAGATAGAGCGCACCAATACATCCCAAGCCTGGTCGGTGATATAATGATAATAGCAGGATAAACCAAAGGTTAATGGAAGAGGAAGAATAGGAAACCAAATGAGATGCGGTAAAAAGAGAAATGAAAAGGGAAGGAAATAAGAAAAGGCCAAGTGGTGTAACGGGGTCGTACTCTCACACCACCCCTCTGCCTGTAGACCACAGACTCTCCGCTCCACTGTCTGAGGAGTTGGTAGAGCCCAGCGGCCCCTACGCAGAGCTGGTGGGTTCCCTCATGTACCTGATTACTTGCACTCGCCCAGATCTCGCATACCCTCTCAGCATCCTGGCTCGCTTTGTGGCCACAGGCAGACACCGACCGCAGCACTGGTCTGCCGCTAAGAGGGTTCTGCGTTATCTTGCTAGTACATCGGGCATGGGGTTAGTGCTAGGAGGACGCAGGCCAGTGGTCCTTACTGGACACACAGACGCTTCGTGGGCAGACGACGCTGAGACACTCAGGTCTACCCAGGGCTACTGCTTCAGCCTTGGCTCAGGTGCCGTCTCGTGGAGAGCTACCCGCTCCTCGTCTGTTGCGCAGTCCAGCTGTGAGGCTGAGATCTACGCTGGTGCCATGGCGGCACAGGAGCTCCGCTGGCTGACCTTCTTGCTCACTGACTTAGGTGAGCGGCCTAGCTCTGCCCCGGTCCTGTTCGCTGACAACAGGGCCATGATCCTCCTGTGTCAGGAGCCTCGACTCGAGGGCAGAGCGAAGCATATTCAGCTGCGGTACTTCCTCTTGCGCGAGCTACAGCAGCGACGCCAGGCTCGCGTAGTACACTTGGCCTCAGGTGCCAACATAGCTGATATCTTTACGAAGGCGCTTGCGCCTAAAGATCATCAGCGGCACTGTGTACAGCTTGGTCTAGTTCCTGTAGCCTCTCACTTGCTAGGACCTTGACTTTGCACTGTCCTTAATACATATACCCAGACTGGACTTGTGTCCTCTCCCAGTGGCTGGACTAGTAGTGCCGCCCTGCTCTTGTTCTTGCCTTGTTTGTACTCCTTTTGACTGGTCTCTCAGACCCTTGTCTCAGAGGTTGGACTAGTAGTGCCGCCCTGGGCTGTTTGTCTAGGGCATTCCCTTATGCAGTCTAGGGGGTGTGTCAAACATGTGTATTTGTCATGTTTGTATAGACTGTATAGGGTCGCCTCTTAGAGAGTACAACACTTAGGTATATCTGTGTGTACTCTCACTCTATCTAATTCACTTGTTCAATTTCTGATAGGCAGATGGTGGGCACCGTTTTGTGAGGCTTTGTCAATTTTCTGTTGGCACAGGTTCTCCTCGTAATTATAAACTGCTGTGTCGTGGCAGGACGCAACGGATCCGAGAAGGGAATGAAGAGCGAGGTCTCTGGGTTGTTGGCACGTGTCGAATGAATATATGATTCGAACAGTGCTGTGTTACGGAAGGAAGGACCAGGTGAAGCTGCTTACGTAGTCGTTTGCGGAATAGTAGAATGTGATATTGCTGCAGTGTCGGGCTGATAATATTTTTCGGCTGCATCTGCTTCATCTTGAGGGGTGGCAAAACTTCACTTGGCACTGTAATGATCAGGAGCTTGTGCCAAAAGGCTGGATGAATCCAGCTTCTTCTGCTGTTTCAGCCCAAGGTATGCCGAGATGTCGACGACGCGCCCAAGAATCAGATGCGATTAACCCTTTCTTGCCCCACGTGCGTTCAACCTCCATAGGTTCTTCGACTGTAGTAGATGTCGGTTCTTGATTTTCGTAACCTTAATTTCCATCTCCATACGCCCATGTTGTTTCACCTATTTCTGCTGATGTTGCTTCTGTTCTTTCGGCTGCAGATTCGTCGATGGAGTCGATGCAAGAAGGCTGAGGCGTGACGCTGAAGATATTAAGACCACGATGGTCTTGGCATTGGAGATCCGTTTCCCACTGATGATGCCAAGGAGCAAGTGAGACGTTCTTCTCACTGTCGCCAGATGCTTTCATAGGTGAAAAACGTAAAACGGGAACGCCGTCTTTAATTTCTGCGATGCCGACCAAATTGCTTTTGTCTTCCTTCTTGTCGCCTAGGTACAACTCCGTGACCATCGTATTGGCGCTGCTGACGAAACATATGCCGCTTTCCATCAGCTGTGCTTGTGATAGCAAGTTGAAGCTGAGCCCCGTGGTGATGAGAACCTTACTAAGGTGAATTGAAACTTATGTGTCGTTGGACACAAGTATCACATCTCCAATCCTGGTAGCTTCAATAACTTGATTGTTGACCACGGTGGATAATGCATTTTTCTCTTTTTGGCAGGTCTCGCCAGCTGAGGAGATAGCGACTTGAAGACGCCATGTGGTGACCGGATCAGCTATCAAGAAACCAAGCATTGACATGCTCAGGATACGCACGCTTGGCGATGTGGGCGTACGACTGCACGTTCAATTGTCGAGAAAAGCAGTTAGGCTACTCTGGTTCTTCTTCATTTACAATTACTGGTTCTTGAGCTCTGAACGAGGATGAAGACGTGTAGGTAGGTTGGTTGCTCCTTCTTCCATGTCACTGTCGCTATCTTCATTGTCCTGTCTGTTCCAGTAGCATACACCACTAGACCAGTGTGGTCCAATCATGCAATTAATAATTGCTTTGCTTTTTGCAGGTTGAGTTGAAGAAGCTGAAGGCGGCGAGATACAGTAGTCTTGACAGGGGTGGCTACACCCGACTTCTCCTGATTCCTGTTTTTCAGTCTCTAACACTCTGCAATATAATTACATGCTCGTTTGCAGAACTTGCAGAAGCCCTTTCCTCCTTTTCTTGTCTGCTCCTATTGATTCGATGCACCTTTTGTCTGCTCCCCTTGACTTGGTCCACGTGTATAGAAGCTTAACCCACTCTTGCCTTTGCCTCCTTTTGCACTGTACAGGTCCAAGTCAACCTGCCCTGCCATCAAAGTAGCACAATGAGAAGATTTTGCGATGTTCCATTGGGAATGAAGAAGGGACTTGCACTACCTCCATTCAGGTCCAAGTCCAGTTAGAAGAATAGTGATGAAGAGCTCACTGCTGAGATTTCCTCCGCACTTGCCGAGCTAGTCCCGAGGGGTTCTTCACCTGTTGATACAGCTGCCGACTTTTTCTCACGGAAGCATTTGCATTGCAATAAGTTTACTTAAAGCGAAAAGGTCAAAATAGTGGAGGCGGGTCCAACTTGAAAAGGCCCAGATGTCTGTTTTTGCGACTAAGGGACAAAACTCCGACGGGGCAGAGGGTACACTGTCGAGGAATGCAAGCAGGGGAAACTGGGTGAGAAGATAAAGATACCTGATTGGTTGGCGGGAAAAACATGACGTACGGTGGAGAAAATGGCTTGGGAAATTTCTCAAGCAGCGCGCCACCTGTCGCCCAGCCCCCACTGCTTGTAAGCTGCACCAAATGGGCCCAACTTGAAGTTCAAGTTGGACCCGGGTTCACTACTCCGGCAAAACCGAGGCTGGGCCCCGATTGGTCGAAATGCTAACCGCGCAAATCTGTGGTCGTAAAATTTGTCGCCAGTGCGAAATGCCGCAAGCGCAATTCGATTTCGTGGCCTACGGCTTGGTAAAAAACGGGGGCTGCTGCCTGCCCCTCCAAAACATATTCACTGTTGGGTCGTTTCTAGTTGGGCCCAATTGGAAAGGGGGGTCACTATTATAGTCTCTCGCTTTAACAGCTTGCTCTGTGTG